AAAAAAATATGTACATAATGCTGCATTCATTTTTATTTCTTTTTTATATATATTTTTAATTATTTACCGACTTTTATTGTCTACTTAATTCTGTCATGGCTTGATCTCTTGGTAGGGCAACACGTGGGGGTCAAAATTCTCAGCTACGCCTTTGGTTACTTAAACTGATCTTGTGAAGCTACAGATGCACAACATGTGAACAAGCTTCACTAACTACACCAAAAATTGGCGTCACGAATGGCCACCTTTTGCGCCCATAATGGCCTGGCGCACATGGGGCCCCGGGTGCGCGCGCTCGTCCCCGTCCAGGACTGCAAATTCCACCTTAAACCCTGTCGGGTGAAAGTTTGGTTTGGAACTCCGTCGGTCCACCTTAAGCGCACACGCAAACGCAGGAGGCGTACAGCGAGGTTTCCGCTTCTCAGTTGGGCTCGGACCGCGGCTCGCGAAAAAAGCACCGTGTGTAACGTACGAGGTTGACGCACCAAGGTAAGAAGAAAAAGCAAGAAGAAAGAGAACCGAGCGAGCAGGGGGGAAAAAAAGATGTCTGAACCCAAGTACCGCGAGTGGATCCTGGACACTATCGACTCGCTGCGGTCGCGAAAAGCCCGGCCGGACTTGGAGAGGATTTGCCGAATGGTCCGGAGACGACACGGGTCCGAGCCCGACCGAACCTGCGCAGAACTGGAGAAACTGATCCAGGAACAAACCGTGCTCAAAGTTAACTACAAGGGCTCTATCTCGTACCGGAACGCCGCCAAGGTTCAGCGGAGAAGCAGAAAAAAAGACGATGTAACGTTAACGACGGCTGCGAGAAGGAGCGCGGTGGAAGAAGCCAGTCACTCTGACTTAAGCAACGGGGACAGCGCTTTCGGTCCCGTGGACCAGGACGAGGAGGATTTGGAGGTATGTGGTGGAGGTTGATGCTTGGAGGCATGTTTCATGAGCTCACATCTCATTGTCATCACGTCTTAGTACATTAACAGGTGGAGGTGAACGCCAGGCACGGGTGGTGTGTGGTTTAAAAGACACAAACGCGTGTTTTTTGCGTGTACACGGGGAGTGGTGAGGGGAGTGATTTGCAAGTGCACCCAAAACTGCCGCAGACGGGGAGCGGCGGTTGGACCTCGCTCGAGCGCTGCCGAGGTGGAGACGAAAAAAAAAAAAAACAACAGAAGGTGCGCGTGTAGTCAGAGTGTGGCATATTTAGCATAGCGCCGGTTGCTGCGCACTTTTAACGGTCGATTTTAGCGCATAAATACAAGACAGGAAAAGTTGCACCGTCGCTGCCCGTCCGCAACAACCCGAGCCACCATTATCGGGAGCAGAAAGCGCTTTTCGAGCCCCAAACTCGGTGCTGAGCGAAGGGGAGGAGGACTCTGCTAAGCTAGCAACAGAGGACTAGCCGCAGCCCGGAAGTTGGTTGAATCCACTTTCAAAATAAAAGCATCCACATACTTGCTTGCCTGTTAGGGTTTCATTTTGAAAGCTTGTAGTGGAAGTGTGTGTTTTCATTGTCACAGACTTGTATATGTGGGAGTGGGTGAGGGAAAAAAAAGTCTCAAACACCGCGGATGTTGGAGCCTGATGGGGGACGGTGGGACATTGTTGGGTTGTTGACGAGCACAGGCAAAATCCCAAATATCACCAGAGCTGTGTGCTGACACATATCTTGTCTCCCCGCGACGACATTTCACCCCTCTCCGTCTGCACTTTAACACATGCACATCACTATGTTTTGCCCCGTGGAACAGCCACCAAATCGATTGCTATCGGTGCCAAAGTACTCCTCGCGCAGACACATGCAGCTAATTTGTGCAAACTGCGTCTGTTTTCCGAGCGATGCACGATTGCCGACGCAGTGCATAAGTCGAACCCCTGGATCCATAGTCGGACACGCAGCCGAGACCGGTCACGTCTAACGCTTGGTGTTGCCTGTTATGGCCTCTCTCGTCCCGTGCAGCAATGGCATCACTTCTCCGTGTCTGGCAACTGTTTGTTGGGAGTATTTCAGACGAGAACACATCGCTGCAAAGTAATGAAATATGGAGCCGGTTGCACTGTGAGAGCTGAACTAACGTGAAGCGACCGCAAACTGTTCGTCCAGCGCTATAGCTGGCGGATGCCCTATCCGATTTGGGTTAAGCTGAGATCAAATTGACTTTGTTCTCCTGAAAGGCGTGTGCGTCGCTGCAAAAACGAATGCGTTTGATTACTTTGTGCAGGCTGCCCCCGGAGCGTGTTATCCGGGTTTTACCTGGATATACGAGGGTCAAATGGAGACAGTGACGTGTCCGATAACGGACTCATTTGCGTTACTCTTTCTGATCTGTCGCTTGCACTGTAAATCGTTGACCCGGTGCAAAGTCAAAGTAGGCTGGTGAAGGAGGCGACTGATGCTCTTTGTGATCGGAATGCTGCGTCGAGTTAAAGCTCGGTTTTTTTTTTTTATCTGTGGTGTGCCTTGCCGTGGCTCGGCCCCGGGAAGCGCTCCGTTAAAGAGCACAGACACAATGGCGAGGTCTTTACCGCGGCTCCCAACTCCATGCGCACTTTGGAGGAAATTTGAGGAAAGCCTAAAACGCCTCCCATCGGCCCTTTCTGTACTCCCCGTGTGTCAGAATTACCAATCAAGAAAGGCCTGTAAAGACCGGGACGCACCGAGCACATCGGCTGCTTTTCAGTGTGAGCCGACATGGAAATCGTGCCGGATCGAGATCCTCCGCGGGGGCATGTTGTTTTTGTCACCGTGTCTCGGTGAAAGTTATGTGAAATGCAGTGCGATGGGTGAATGCCGTACAAGCGGCTCTCCTCTCAGGAGCGGGGCGGGCTTTAGTGCGCTCTTGTGCTCGACTGCTGGGTCTTGCACACGCAGTCGCACACAAGGTAATTTTTTACTCAGAGCGCCGTCGACAAAACCCCCCAACGACAGGAATGAGTGCGTATAACTACTTGTGTGCAGTCACATAACATTACAGTCAGTTGTTTAATTGCGTGGAAACGCGTCTGTGGGTTGAAGGGGGCTCAGTGTGTCTGCGGAGTGAACGCTGCACCGCAGAAAGGGACGAAAGCAGTCAAAGGCAATAATTTACCACCACAGCGGTCACATTGCGACATCTGTACGAGCGTGTTTTCATGTGACACGCTCAGCCTGCAATTAGTACTCAGTCGTGGCAACAATCCCTTGTAGCCTCGTTGGACTGCCCTGCTTTTTAAGTTGTTGTCAGATAATGAACTTAATTGTTGATGGTGGTAGTTAAATATGTTTAATCCCCTCATGCCCCATTGATCCAAGCAAAGATCATGACACACTTGATTTCAATATTAAATCATAATCATTGGGGATCACAATTACAAAACACAATGAGAAGGAAATTATATGTTGTCTGTTTTGCAGGCTGACACCTCTATGGCAATAGACACAGACAGCAATGCAGACGAAGAGGGGGCCGACGAGAGCCGGGACGGGCAGGACGGACCCTCTCCTGGCCGCCCGTATGAAGATGCCGCCGTGCACTGTGCCTCTGTGCGAGCCGCCTCTGCCCCCTGCTCCCCCTCTGGCACTCGGCCTGGCCCCGGCCCCGTCTGCAGCCCTGGCTCAGGTCTGGACTGTGCCTCTTTCCAGAAGGCTGGTGTGAGGCCCAGCTCCTTGCCCCCCTCCAGCCCCAGGGCCCTCACACACAATGACTGGGCCTATCATTCTGCTGTCTGCCCAGCAGAGCGCCAGCACCCAGGAATGCAGAGAGACAAAGGTATTCACACTGCTAGACACAGTCAAATATGCGCACCCGGCTTTATGGAGCACTGGCATATTGTTTCACATGCAAGATTTATGCTCAGTTTTGCATTGGATGTGAAATAGGGATGCTGGATGGGTGTTGACAGTAGAAACGTCTCAGTTAATATAAGCTAGATTGCATACATTTCCATGGCTTCATGATGTCGTCAAACAAGTGCAGTCATCCATCAGCTTGTTTGTACCAGTTATTCAGGTTTTAATGAACAGTGTTAAAAACCACACATAAAAGAATTTTCAGCTGCATTAGTTTTTTATTAGCACCCGAATTTGCCAATAATAAAGTCAGTAAATTGTTCTTTCTCTCTGTTAGCAGCAGCCACGAAGCCAGCAACCCCGTCTCCAGCCACCAGTCCCTGCACTTTGAAGAACAATGTGAAGAAAGAAGATGGAGGCAAGGCGGTGGATAGTGGCCTTTCATCTGACCAGTTAGTGCCAGACTATGCAGCGGGGCCGGTAATTGTCCTTGAATATTTTTGTGACAAACAACACCACCTGTATACATCTCTCCCCTGCTTCTTTGATCTTGTCGCTTCACACCTGACGCTTTCATATTTAATTTGTTTTGTTGTGTTTCGTGTGGCCAACAGGATGAGACCAAGAATGTATCCGATGGGAGACCACAGGCACTGTCTTTGCCATCTGACAACTGTGAGTAACATATGTCTCAGTTGTTGTTTTTAAAGCTGCTGTGAAGCATGCGTCTTTTTGCAGGGAATAAATCAATCACTAGTCCACACTTTATAAGAAAACACACACATTATGGGAGTTAAGTATTAGAGTGTTGCATGAATAAGTCATAAACACAGAAATGAGTTCCCTTGTCTCGAAGTCAGTCAGTTTCTTGAATGGGTTTTTGGTTAGACGTCTAAAATAAGGTCTGTGTTTAACACAAGCTTGAGAGATTTCTACATATTGCTCTATGACATAAAATATGTCAGTAAATACCCCACTCGTGAATTTTGAAGCTTTTAAGTGTCTTTAAAAAGGCTGTTGCTAACAGGTGGCTAAATGAGACTACAGAACGTCTCCATGCAGAACGCAGCTTGACAGCCTCGTTGTGGTGGTGACGTTAAGTCAGTGTAGTTCAGTGGTTTCTGTCTGGTCCAGCCACGGGGTCCAGATTTCTCCTTAGTCTTTAGTTCAAGGTCCACACAGTTTCATATATTCAGTTGGCCATGTTGTCGAGCTAGTTTGCTGTCTCTGTCAGGTAGTCACTCACTCTACAGCAGGAAATGGCACTTCAAAATAAAAGCTCTGTGGAGAAAATTCACCGTACTTAAAGGAGCTATATGTAAGAAATCTAAAGCAAATAGTCGTAAATCCTCCTAATATGTCACAGAGACTGCGGAATAATGTTCATTTAAGATACTGATCACACCGACAACAATAGTACAGCCAGAATATTCGCATTTAAAAAACATTTTTACAGTCTGCAAATCATGTTTATGTTTTGAATTTGTGTTTTGGACTGTTGCGCCACCCACCGCCGTCTACCAGTCATGCAGTCAGTAGAGTCTCAGCATCAGTTACAGTTACGACTGAGCTACAGCAGCACAGCAAGCAGCATTAGCAGTGTCCCGGTACATAGCATTAGCAGCCGGCTCCTCCTCAGCTGTATCCCGGCAACAGCGTTAGCAGTGTCCCAGTACATAGCATTAGCAGCCGGCTCCTCCTCAGCTGTATCCCGGCAACAGCGTTAGCAGTGTCCCAGTACATAGCATTAGCAGCCGGCTCCGCCTCAGCTGTATCCCAGCAGCAGTGTTAGCAGTGTCCCGGTTCATAGCATTAGCAGCTGGCTCCGCCTCAGCTGTATCCCGGCAGCAGCATTAGCAGTGTCCCGGTACATAGCATTAGCAGCCGGCTCCTCCTCAGCTGTATCCTGGCAGCAGCGTTAGCAGCAGAGAAGCCGGACTTGCTCGAACGGTCTGCTGGAAAACCGAAGATCAAGGATGCGGCGATGCAGCCCTGCCACAGCAGCCGCCCGTGGGCAAACAAATCAGTCTCCAGCGTGCCGCTGTCCAGCAACCTCGGGACACCACTCGCGGCAGTATTTTGAATTTGAATGCAGTAACCGTTTCGGCCACATTCTTACATACATTGCCTTTAAAATCAAAGTGTGTTTTTACAAATTTGACACATCGACAAGTTAGTTGCAGTCCATTCAGAATGGACCTGTGACCCACTTTTGGACTGCAACCCACCAGTTGGGAACCACTGGTGTAGTTTGTTCAGAGCCCAAGATCAGCATCCTAGAAGTGGTGTTCATTTGTGATGATTATCTTGCAGAACAAAACATGTACGTCTCATAAACTTTTGTTTGCCATGGAGCTTATTTCCTGCAGTAATCCAAAATCCAATGGAAAAATTCCTTTGGCTTTTTCAAGAGGGAACCAGGCCGACGCTAACCTTCCCAATGGCCTACAACAAACATCATCCCCGCAGCACTCTATGACAGCTTATGTTTCAAGTACCGCTCGGGCTGTTTGGGTAATTTGGCCTTTTTGACTAGTGCTTGCCTCGAGGCCTGCTCAAAATGTTTTGAATGCCTTACAAGCTTGTCCAGCTCCCTTCCAAATCCAGGTGGTGACTGTTCAAAGTTGTTGCTCAAAACATGCAGCCCTCATGCAACACTGCACTGTTACCAGCTTGGCTTGTAGAGGTGGAAACTGGCAGACTTGATAGAGTTGGATTCAGTTCTGAAATTGATGCATTAGGATTTTCAGTTGAGAAAAATCACCACATGACCATGTAATTAAACACACAGCTGCAGAGGGTTTCTAAAAGCTGTCCATAAAATGGCTGTCAGAGCTGTTGCTGTATGCTTACAGATGGCTCTTAATAATTCAGAAATGATCTTGTTCATATTTTATGGTATGTCTGGGGTTGCTGACAGACAAGGCCACATAAAAAAGATTTTTGTATGGACTTAAGTTAGGGTAAAGTTCCTATCCATCACCTCAGAGACACAGGGTTTGATTCCCAGCAGAATGCGTGTGTTTGCAGAGTTTGTGTGACTTTCTGGCTTTTAATGCAAGAGAAGTGGTTATAGATTTTCCCTCCTTAGTCAGACATTACCTAGAGACTTCCAAGCAAATCACTTACCTGGCACAACAGAAATAAACAACACTAAAATGTTTTTTACCACCACACAAGAGCCATGCCACCATATACTGTACTTAAATATGGTTTGGCTAGCGGGAGCAGTATTCACCTTAAAATTAGGGTTTTGTCCCTGTTAGGCATCACATGCATGAACACAGCCCTGCCAGCATCTTGTGACAGTGGGCTGGTACTGTATAGTAAAGCTGCTGTATCAACACTGTACTGAACCGTGAACGAACTCTAATAGGAAAACATACTGTACCGTGACTGTAAAAGCCTCAGTGTGGCATACCAGCACCGTGGAGAAAGCATCACCTCCATTTCATCCCGACTCTGCTGCTGCTGTTGGTTCAACATCACACCATTCAGTGTCAGGGAGATGATAGTGCACATTTAAAACGCCAGAAAGATCATTTCAATTACAGTTTTGTTGAATTTTATTTTGCACATTGTTGCAGAATTGGAAAAAGTTAGAACCATGGTCAGAACCCTTCTTTCTTTCTTCTTATAGACCAAATCACAGTGTTTATTTACAGTAACTTGCGAGTAGAAAACCCCTGCGTCACGAGCATAAAATGAAACAGCGCTGAGCAAACTCTGCCTCAGTTGGTTAGCTTTTAGCCGCCTAAGAAAGCCCACCATACCTAGAATATTTTAACAACTTTATCTTACTGTCAGGCAACCTTTCCTGACGGGGAACTGTAGTCTTTATCTCGAAGCCCTCGGACTCCATTGACATCGTCATTTTACTTTGCAGAACACGTAAATTGCTCGGCTACTGCTGCCTCCATCAGTTAATCCTACATGTCTTGTTTAAAAAATGAAATTGTCAACGACTATCCCAAACTAATTTCCAATCATTAACATAGATACATTGTTTAATTTAGGCATTTTAAATATTCCATATCTATGTGGCCTATCAGCTGTCACGGTGGGACAGTGGTTAGCATTGTCGCCTCACAACAAGAAGGTTTCTGGTTTGAACCTGGGGTGGGTGCGGGTGCTGTGCAGAATTTGCATGTCCTCCCCGTGTCAGCTTGGGTGTTGTCCGGCTTTCTTCCTCCCAAAGACATGTAATTGTTGACTCTAAATTGCCTGTAGGTGTGAATGTGAGCATGAATGGTTGTCTGTCTCTTATGTGTCAGCCCTGTGATAGTCTGGTGACCTGTCCAGGGTGTTCCCTGCCTCTCACCCAATGTCAGCTGGGATAGGCTCCAGCCCCCCGCCCCCCTGTGACTGGTTATGGTTATGAATGAATAAATTATATAGATAAGTAAACAACAGTCTTGGATATTAAATAGGCTATACTCCTCATCTAACCTACTCCGTAACACACATCATCATCATCATCATCATCATCATCTCTGTAATTGAAGACGAGTACCAGTTATTTACCTAGAAGTGGTAGTTGTTGTTAGTGTGCCATCACAGTCATTCAGCTTATGAACTCCCCTTTAACTGCCCATTTCCCATAGTCACTCATTGGGTGTTGGATGTTGATATGGTGAGAAGTAATTGGTTTTGATGTGAAATTAACAACCGCAGAATATTTTGATTCCGAAATGTTCACATTCTTTGGCACTGTTGTGTGTTCTCACTTTCTAGGACAAGCCAGAATACTGAAGTGTTTCTCCCACATGTTGTCAAACTGTCACTTTGACAGAAAATCAGTGAAATCAGCTCTGCATTGTATTTTAGGGAGCACTTGCAGACAGCCTGCAGTCGGGGGTTCTCCCGGAGCATGTCATGACATCCATTAAATTAGTGGTAATATTTGCAGCGCATTTGTAATAACTTTGCTTCCATTTTGTTCACAGGTACATTAAAGAACAAGATAGATATATCCTCCTTCACAGCAGCCGAGGACAGCCTTCTGAACGGTGGCAAAGTTGATGAAGTGTGAGTATTCTGTTATTAAACAAGTCATTACACTCTCCACTAAAAATGCATTTTAGCAAACTCCTGCAATCACGTTCCCTCTCTTTCTACAATTATTTTACACGCTCTTGACTTTTATTTTTCTGTAATCGTCTTTAATAATGAGTACATTTTTCTGAGGCACAATCTCATGTTTTAAAGAATTACTCAACACACAGAAGGCCACATGAATAGAAAACAACAAAACAAGACAGTACCTGCAGAAGAAAGGTCACTCTGTGGTTATGACTCTGACTCTTTTCTGTCTGATCTTCCTCCAGCTCTGTGAAGAAGGAAACCATGAGCCAGAACTTAATGCAGTGGACTGTAGCAGATGTGGCCAGTTACTTCTCAGCTGCAGGCTTTCCAGAGCAGGCTGTGGCGTTTCGAACACAGGTCAGTGCACTACTGCAAAACTGCCACAGAGGGCACTATATGTACACTGAAAACCACACATATCCCATCACCCAGTGCAGTTTTGCAGCCAGTTCATAGTAAGTGTGTTGGACAGTCTGAAAGCAGTGTATGCTGTGACCTGTATCAATTTATTTGTGTACACTAAGCTGTGTGGTAAAGGCTGCTAGAAAAGAAAACTCTGCCTTAATGTGACAGGGAAAAACACCAGATTTAAGACATTTTTAAAAGGGCTTCAACAGCTACTTTAACTTTCTACAGTGTGTGCTGATGGTCATATAAAACACGTTATATTAAAGGATATTAAGCCTTCAGAAAATGCCACGTGGATGACTAATTGAGGTCTCTCCAACAGGAAATTGATGGGAAGTCCCTTCTCCTAATGCAGCGCAGCGACGTGTTGACTGGCTTGTCCATTCGACTCGGCCCTGCCCTCAAAATCTACGAGCGCCATGTGAAGGTGCTGCAGAGGACCCACTTCCTGGAATACGAAGACCTCTGAAGTGGTAATAATTCACATGACAGACAGACAGACAATGCTGCATCGACCCAAACGTGCATGCAGTGCCCTCTCTCCCATCTAGATCCTTCCACCCACCTTCATATACAGAATATGTAGAGGGTGAGTGGGGGGGCGGCGATGGCTGCGGTGGAATCAACTTTCACTGTGAGAATGACCAGAAACTGAAAGACAGTCATCCTACCTCTCATTATGGTCTTTGGTTTTCAAATGGTTCTCATTTCACCCACGTGGCAGTTCGATTGCGTCATTAAGGGAACAGACTGGTACATTCAGAGTGTGTTTAAAAGTGGATGGCAAGAGGAAAAGATGGATGATGCAGCCATTGAATGGACTGAGCCTTCCACCTAGTGGACCACCTGTGGGCAACTGTACCCACGGACACATGACTGCGTAGTGCTGCGAGCAAAGAGTTTGGGGTCCACAAGAACATGTTGGATCTAAAATGTCTCGCTTTATCCTCGCTCGATCTGTAATGGCACCTTCCGTTAGTCCAGGATCTGTTTGTACGTGACACAGATAAACATAAAGCACATCTGTCGTGAGTTTTCCTTTGATTTTGTTACATTAAATATCATCAAAGTGCTGGGAAAGTCGGGCTATCTACATATCTTCATCACACGCCTGATTCCTGACTTATCATGCCACCAATAGCTGCTGATGTTGGATTATGTCTTCAGTGTCTCACAGAGATATAACCAATATGATTTACTACTACCTGCTGGCAAGGCAATATGTGTATTTCTTTCTTTTTCTATTAGATGTGACTGTGGTCCAACTTAATACAGTTGCATTGTGGGGAACAATCGCAGATAGACGTGACCAGGGAAATGTGCAGCCTAATGGAATTGGCTTTCATACACACACACACACACACACACACACACACACACACACACACACACACACAAAATAAAGTAATAAACTTTGTGAAATGTTATTGTAATACTGAAGATATTGTTTTAAATTGAATACCGCTGCTCAGTGCCTGTTTACGGAGCAGATTTCTCGATCAAATGCAATATTTCATGTTATCATCCATTTATGATTTGTCTGGCATCTCTTTGTGTTTTTATGTAAACCAGCCTCTTGGATTGTAACATTCCATACGATGTAGTCCACATCTCCCGTGTATCTCCTCCCCTTTTTATCTGTAACATTCACACTTCTTCTTCTTCCAGAGTTGCAAATAAAGCTCGTGTCTCTCTCTGTTCACTCACTTGTTTTCTTGTTTATTACACTCATCGCATCAGTAATTTGGCTAAAAACAGTTGTTTTAATGGGTTGGCATAACCTTGTGAGGACAAGTGATCAAATATTGTAAATACATTCAGTTTTAAAAAAAACCTCTAAACACTCAATGCTCTCTCAGAAAAATTGCAGCAAGATATTTTTTAGAAACAACATCGAAGTTCGTCATTTAATGTGAAGGTTCAGTCGATGCAGCGCTCTGTGAAATGCATTCAGTGAATTCAGTGTGTTATTCTAATGTCCTTTGCCGATATTGTAAAGCACAGTCAAATGGTGTTTCAGTCTGTATTTGCATCTGAGCCATTCTCCAGATTAGTACGAAAATAATCGGGTGGGAAAAGGTCTATGCACAGAAACATTATGCTAGACACATGATTGGCCTTTGTCACAGCAGACATTTTGACTCGTCATTGTAGGAAAATCACAGGCGTTACTTAAGCAGCAATCTCTGGGGATAAAAAAGTGAAGCCAACATGCAAGTGCCAAAAAAAGTTCTTTAACAGCCACTTAAGTCTGGTTCCAGAAGCCAGTCAATCCCCTTAAACACCCATGTTAAAATGTCCAACTTTACAGCAGAGATAAACATGTTTACAGCTTGGTACAAAACAACAATTTTGGTCTCTATAACTAATTTCCCACTTCATGACAACTGTACAGGGGTAAATTTTTATACAAGTCACCCGGTTACATTTTATCAATGCTTAAAATTACACATAATTAAGGGTTGGCTGCTCTGAGTGACAAGCTGTCTGCCAATAGTGTCCTCAGCTTCTCAGTCAGATCCACTCCTCGCTCCTCCACAGCTCCAGCCTATCACCCAAATATGATCACTCCTGGCTCCAAAAAACAACATGGCAGAGGCCAAAATGACGAACTCAAGGCCTCAAAACATGACTCGACAAACCAATGGGTGGCTACGTCCATTATTTTTACAGTCTGCGGTGTAACTAATACCACTAAAAATGGTTCTGTGCTATTAAAGTGTCCCTGCTGTGAGTATGACAGTGAGTAAGCATGCACAACACTTAGATTATGGGGTATGACACGTGTGCAGTGTAACTGGAACTACAGTGTTGGTGGGGTTACATCAGACAGTGCTGTCTGGGTGCATGTTTTTAGCCTCCTTGGGTGCACTAGGCCTGACAGAACTTTTGGGTACACTCAACTTGATGGTGGTCGATATACAATAGAACGTTTGCAAATAGAAAGCATGTCTTCATGGTCTTTTATTACAGACTTTTTCTATGATCACAGAATTGTAATTCTCATCATGTCTTTACTTTTTGTAGGAAAATATTCAGACTCAAGGCTGGCTGCAAATGCCTCAGTGGACTGAATTAATCATCCCCCATGTTCTATGATAGCACGCCAGCTATTGAGCCTTTAGCAAGTGCAGACCAGACTTTACCGCACGTGTGTCATACCCATTGGTATGCCGTGATGTGACTTCTCCTCTTTTTGAAATCAAAGCAGCTAAATGGAATTCAGCCATCACTAATTTTATAATTAACACCTGTGCTTTTCCTACTGTGACATTTCAAAATGTCTTGTTGAAAAATGTATGTTGATGTTGGTTTGATGACTTAAACTTGTAGGACATGTGTCTGTGCATGCTGTCATAGTGGAAAACGTGGGAATCGGCATACAATTTCCCCTTAAGATATTACCAGTGTGGAGGCCACAGTCAGATCAGAATACTGCATAAGGCCACAAAGTTGTCAGCTCCAGGCTGCACACCAGTTTGACAATGAGATTTAGTTTTCATGCTCTGTGGGAAACTTCACTGATCAGGAAGCCAAACGCTACGACAATAATGCGATTCTGAAAAACTAAACAGCACTCTCAAACAAACATGTTACAACTTACCAAAGTAGCAAAATAATCTCTCGTCTTCTTGCTCTTCAAGATCACATATAACATTAAATTAAGACTTTGCTGCATTCAACTCTGATGGCTTCCTCTGCCAGTCCTGCATTCACCAGTCCAACACCCAGCAGCCGCTCCTTGTTATGGAGGGACATGTCAGAAAATGTTACACAGAGTCCATATGACCAAATTCCATCCACGCTGTTGACCTCAGCACACACTTCCTGACATCAAGTGGATGGAGAGGCCCTGAAGAAGGCGCCCATCAGTGATAAGGTGGATGTGGGTTGCGTTCGTCGTTTTTCTGCCAGGCTCTACAGGATGAAGGGGAGAATGGAGGAGCGCAGGGTCGGGTAATTGCTGAACTCCTTTAAGTAGCTGCGGTGTTTGCCTTTGGCCCACACAGCCATCTGGATGAAGGCCACGACAGTAAAGAAAGCCACAGGCACACACTGGGTCATCACCGTGAAGCCGATCCAGGAGCCCAGCTGTGAGCAAGAAGTTTGCAAACATACACAGAAACACACACACAGTGCGATGATGATACATGTGTAGGAGGTAACCAGTAGATGGCAGCAATAGTGCATCTCATATTGCAAGGCACTGTGTACTAGTGCTGCTGGGTTGCACACATGCACACAGCAGCTGCCTTCGGGGTTTGAGTACTGAAATGTGGAAGATTAATAACTAAACTAAGATACTTAACTAAGGTGAGACAAAAAAAACCTTGAATGAAATGTTCTTACGAGCAAATTATTAGTCATAAAGAAGAAGAACATTGACATAATAATTTAACATTAAAGGCTAAGCTCAAAATTTGAGTTGTCTCTTAACAAAAAAGTGACGTGCTCATATGAACTTTAAAACAGGTTTAGCTTGCTCAAATCATTCCTCCTGTTCATACCAGAGGTGGGACCAAATCATTGTTTTGCAAGTCACAAGTAAGACTCAGGTTGTTGTACTCAAGTCCCAAGTCAAGACAGGCAACTCCCAAATCAAGTCTTAGGCCTAAACTTTGAGTTTTGAGTCCTAAACCATGTCTGCTTTTTAAAATTTGCATTTATTTGTTTAAAAAAAAGTTAATTGGAAGTTGTTGTGTTGCGTTTTGCATATTGCAATTTTGTTGATCAATCATAGTTTTTCTACATGAATGAAATTAAATTTTTCCATTTGGTGCTCAGTAACGTAACGTTAGCTCTTCATGACTCTGTCCTGCAACTTGATTGGATGCTGTCGTATTGGTTCAAACAAAGTGGATCTGGGGAATGAAGTGTCAACTCACTGCGAATGAATAGCTGATTCAGAAAATGAAGGTAAATTAATTGAGTTGTGACACACTTTTAAATAACATACTTATTAAACTTTAGGCTTTAGGGAAAGGTATCAAGTATTTTCGAGTCTGAAGATTTTGTCAAGTTGGGATCTAAAGTCATCAAGTCACGTGACTCGAGTTCACACCTCTGGTTCATACTGGCCGAGTAAAAATCCGTTACTAATGTATTTCCAAGAAAATGATTGGGGACAAAATTCACAGGTCATTTTCTGTTCAAATATGTATTCTGACTTCCTGAGACCCGAGCTTCTCATTGGAGTGCATTTTTAATTTCTCCTAACTATTTGGGAAAAGTAGGAACTGATCAGTATAAAAAACAAAACATTGTCTTTTAACAGTTAGTAGTTTTGGATTTAAAAAAAAGTCCTCATATGGAGACAATAAGTTTATTTTTTGAAAGTGTGTAATACATTTTAAAACAGTTTATTTCAATGCCTGAGCATTGTTGTGCACAAAGAAAACTGCAAACAATGCAACATTTGTTTAATGTTTTGTAACTCTATGGGTTAGGTTTAAGTCCCAATGACCCCAAACGAGTACTTCCTAATTAGCTTAGCTTGTTCCTATTGCTAAAATTGGTCAAGTTTGTACTCCATATAAAGCGACAAATGTTATTAAGCGCATATCAACAAGTTTCAACCATAAACTATGATCAGGTTTGGGACCTTGTGCACTTATGTGTCAGGGTCGGCTGCAGACTGACTTGGCTGTGATCACTGCCATCTTGTTTTCACATGGATAAGTGTTTTTTGCTTTTACTTCCACTAGATGGCACAAAAAAACGTCCACATACGAGGCTAACAGGTCGAAGTTAAGCAGAATGAAGTGTAAGGTGCAGCAAACCCAAAATGCAATGTCCACATATGAGGGTGCAGGGTCACAGGAGGCTAAAGTGAGCTTCAGCTGTCAAATCGAGTAGATATCCATCATATTTATGGCCTTTTTAATATAACATTTCCTTTTTGTGTTTTCCAGACAGCATTTTATTTTCCCATTTCCAGTATGAGTGGATTTACAGCTTACCTCGTATGTGTAGTTCGGACAAGAGACCAGCCAGAACATCCATGTGAAGGGATTTTTCGTTGGGTAGGGAATCTTCTTGGTTTTTGAACCTGATATGATGGGTAAAAACAAGCAAACTATTGTAATGTCCTGCACTGTAGGCTCCTTTTTTAAAATTGCAACACTATATTCCTTGTTAGAAAATGCTCACCTTGTGATTTGAGGTTACGAAGGGCAACATGGATGGAAAAATTTCCTAACTGACAGAACTGCAGGAATAAAGACATCCAAATACAATGATATTCACTGAACAATAGATGGTTTAATGTCTGGAAGATTCCTTTACTGAGCTATGAATATACAAAGATCTCAAACTTACCAGGAAAATGTAAAGTCCTGTATTCACCTGCTGCTGCCCGTAATCTGTGGACGTGTCACAGGGAAATGGATTAAGATGGCAGTCAACCTCGACTGATGAGTTAAAGTGAGAATTGCAGCAGTCAGCACTTACAGGGTGTGGTGTAGAGAGGGTGGTTAATGTAGTACGCCATCCAAGCTGCAGTGCACCAGTAATAGCCACAGTTCTGAAATAGAGGGAGAGACTATAATAAGTCATACTGTCAAGATAAGGCTCCACATACATTTGGTTCAGATTTCTGAGAATAAGAGCGTGGCATGAAATAATAATAAACCATACATCACACTCAAAGGTCAAAATTATGCAGCTGACTCGCCTTGAATATGTTTCTGAGAGGCATTGTCC